TTCCATATTAAAACAATGAGTTATCAAACCATGAAAAGACATGGAGGAATCTTTATTTATACTACTAAAAGAAAGATGCCAATCGGAACAGTCACTGTATGATTCCAACTATATGACATTAGTGAAAAATTAAACTATGGAGAGAGTAAAAAGATTGATGTTTTTCAGGGTTTGGTTTGGGGGACAGATGAATAGGTATGGCATCATAATGATGGCTACAAATCATTTTACATTTGTTCAAACCCACATAATGTACGGCACCAAAAGCGAGTCCTCAGGTAAACTGCAGACCTTGGGTGATTATGATGTGTGGGTTCACCAGGTGCAACAAATGTACCCCTCTGGTGGAAGATATTGATAGTGGGGGAGGCTGTGCATACGTTGTGGCAAGAGGTATATAGGAAATCTCTGCACGTTGGAACTGCTTCAAAAATACAAGTTACACAACTTAAAACAAAAATTCATACCAGTGCCTCATTTAATCATCACAAAAATATTTCTAAATAAATAAAAAACAAAGAATGAACATTTTTCCTCAATATTTCATTTTGATAATGTAATTTAATTAAAACTTAAAATAAATTACATTTGTGACAGGATATCACTTTATTAGCTGGGCCTCTCTTTTTTTAAGCATGTTTTGTAGTGGAGCTTAGTTTTTTCCCCATATAATAAAATTTCTGATGCATGATAGAGGACTCTCAAATGAAAACCACCTATATGATAACCACTTAACCCGAGATAAAAAAGAACAAATTACAATTGATAACAGAAAATTTTCCAAAAATGTGATGGACAAGTAAGATTTGGGATATAAGATAATTTTAAGTAGGATGCAGTAGACATTTATATATTAAAAGCTAGTATTTAATTATGTAAAATATTATATTCTACTTGTAGTAACTAAGAAAGGTTTTTTATTTTTTAATTTTACTACTTGATTTTAAGTGGTGGAGTTTTTTGGATATATTAAACAAAAAGAAATAACAAAATGAGCTATTTAATTTTTCTATTAAATACTATCATTTTTAATTTATATATGGAAGTTAGCATGCATTAAAAGATTTACTTTACATCCTCAATTTCTTATCATTTAGCACTTCTTACATGGAATCAATTTAAAACTGGATTGCTAATATCTTCATTTTATACACACAATTAGTTTGGTTAAATTTTATTTTAATATTCATTCACAGAGTAACTAAGACTTCTATGTGTTTGGAGCAAAAGAAAAGTGTCATGCATTGAACAAACCCATTCATTAATATTTCTCTGTAACTCAAATCACTCATATTGAAAACAGATATTAATTTCCACAGTTATGAAATAGTCACGTATTTTAAATTTTATTTCTAAATTCAAGAGATTGCTGATTTGAAACTCCCACATTACTAGCTGTGGCTACACTCATTCCACCCTTGCATGACCCACTAGAAATCATTCCTATAAAGCATCTAATTAGAAAGTCAAAGGATTAGAACATCAGAGAGAGGAAATCCACACATCTAAAGGAAAAGGATAGAAGAGTAAATAAAAAAACAAAAAACAATAACTAGGGATGAAGCTATGGACGATACCTCTGGTAGGCGGTTAATGTCCAAAATTTATATAGAACTCATACAACTCAATAACAAAGAAAACTCAAACTTTAATTCCATAAAAAAGTGGGCAGAGGACCTAAATAGGCACTTCTTCAAAGAGGACATACAGATGACCTAAGACATGAAAAGACAGATGGCCAACTGATCATAACAGAAATGCAAATTAAAACCTAAAGCTATATCACCTAACACTGGTCAGAGCAGCTACCATCAACAAATCAACAAACAACAAGGGCTGGCGAGGATGTGGAGAACAGGGAACCCTCGCGCACTATTTATGGGAATGCAGACTGGGGCAGTCACTTTGGAACAGTATGAAGTTTCCTCAAAAAATTAAAAATGGAATTGCCTTATCACCCAGTAATTCCACTTCTGGGTATATATCCTAAGAAATGCAAAACACTGATTCAAAAGAACATACGCACCCCTACAGTCATTGTGGCATTATTTACAACAGCCAACGAACAGATGGAAGCAACTCAAGTGCTCAATAGTAGATGAGTAGATTAAAAAGCTGTAGTACCAATATAAAATGGAATACTACTTGTCCATAAAAAAGAATGAAATGTCACCATATGTGACAGCATAGATGGACCTATGATAAATCAGTCAAAGTGGAATTTATAGAACAAAATAAACAAAATAGAAACTGACTCATAGATACAGATAATAAACTAATGGTTGCCAGAGGGGAGGGGAGTGGGGGACTGGGTACAAAAGGAGAAGAGATTAAGAAGGAAAAACTGCGAGCTATAAAGTAGTCACAGGGATGTATGGTGCATTATAGGGATTATAGTCATTGATACTGTAATAACGATGTACGATGCCAGACAGTTACTTGAAACATAGAGAGGGATCACTTTTTAAAGAATATGATTGTCGAACCACTATGCTGTACACCTGAAACTAATACAAAACAGTATTGAATGAAAATTCCAAAAGCTGAAATAAGGAAATTAAGGTCTGGATAGGAGGGACCGACCAATCAGACATGGCATATTTAGATACATTACAACTAAACTTTTCTTCAAATCTGTTTCAATCTTTGATTAATGTCATTGCATCCTGGGTCTTTGCTGTGCACAGTGGTGATGATAAAGTAGTAATATTAATAAATACACAGCAGTATGGAATAACATAGTCCTAAATGAATATATTGCATAATAAGTGCAAAGACAGTTAAGCAATAGAAAATGAAACAGTGTACCTAAACATGTTAAGTAATCTTAATGTTTTATGCTTATTTTTCACAACATACTTTTTCTACCATTCTTAATTGAGCAAACATGTTTTCAGACCAAGAGAAGATGATCATATCCACTGTTTGCTCAACTGACATGATTCGAGCTTATTGTTTACGTCAAGGGCATGGAAGAAAGACAGTTTTCACATTGATTCAAAAGCAGCTTTATCTTTTGACAGCCCCTCGCGGGAACCCATCTGTGTCTACAGCTTTAGTGCGTTAGTACCCATTAGATGTAAGACTGGGGAGACTACTTTATTTCACATAAAGTAGCACTTGACAGACACTAGCTCCTGTGACATTAGAAAAAAAATTTGGGCTTGTAGCCAGAGAATTTCTCTAAAGGTAGCTTTCCTTTATTTCTCACACCGGGGTCTTGACTCTAACCATTTTCTTCTATTTGGAGGTTGGTAATTCTCACCTTACTTTTTTTACCAAGAGATGTTTTTTTACTTACTCTTATTTTTTTTTTGTCTTCAAGTATTGTATTAAACCGTAATGTATTAATATTTAAACTCACCATATGTTTTATCAGTCTACAAAAATAGAACATATATATATATATATTTAAACAACCTAGCATATTCACCTAGATAACTTGTTCCACTGCCCCCAAAATTCTCCTCATTTATTATGTTGTAGTGAGTTTTATTCCATGTTTATTTATTTTTATTACTTTCTTTACAACCTTCGATATTTCTTCTATAACTGTATATTCTTGAAAGTGTCTGTAAATCTATTCACCAGGCATTTCCCGCTTTCACAATTATCAAGAGCACAAGCAGGGGCTTCAGGAACAAGATTGATGAATGACAACAGGTTAATACAAACAACCACTAACATGGCAGATTCTTGAGAATACTCCTACAAACACTGGTAATAAATAAAGTTTTCTGGAGTTTAACTGGAAGTGAATCATGTTGTTACATGGACAAGCAGAAAAACAACTTGAATCCAGTGAGTAAATTAGCCAGCATTTGACCTGATATGCAGGGACACTCAGTAATTGCTATTTGTCTTTCCTTTCCCAAGACAAATGTTTAAATTTATTTAGAATTCTCTCCTTATCACAGATATACTTCCAGGAGGAAGTTATTTGGGCCACTTTGAGGGATGGATTCAGATGAATACGAAGAATAAAGCTTGCATGCTCTTGAGACATTTCCTGAGATTTTCCCATATGCTATGAATGTGTGGAGGTTATGGATTTATGGTTGATCCATTTATAAAAAAATCATTTATTACCTCATGGCATAAAATCTTATGATGTATGTGCCTACATATTTTCCCTGTAACAACAGAGTAGTGTTTTGCATTAAAAGCCTACTTAAAGTTTTTTGCTCTGGTTCTTGTATACCTTTTAGAGATGCAAGATTCAGATTCTCTCTTTTTTTCCCTCACCCAGTACTTGTAGGCATATGAGAGGAATTTAAATAAACAGAAGAAGCAAGATCGAACTAGAACAAGCCTCAAAATATGTTGCAGAATCAATGTATGAGTGAGAAAAAGGAAAAATCCCACTGTGTCTCAGTAGTGCAAGTGGAATTTATGGGTTTGAGGGGTGGGGAAAGAGATTTTCTTACACTTTTTTACGCCATGGATCGCTTTGTTGACGTACTGCCCAGCAGCCTCATGTCAGTAGGAACCCCTGGCAGAGCCTGGGTTTTGAGAAACGTCGTAATTCACCTGACCAAACGGCTGCCTCTACCTGTGCTCCCGTCGCAGACACGGCTGTCACAGCGAGAAAATGAACTGCAAATTGCAAGTGGTGAAACTATCTTTTCAAACATTCTTTTGGTGACAGGCAGGGGCTTTAGATTAATTGAAAATGTATTAAATGTCTGTTATATTGCAGGCACTGTAAAATATCTAAATACCATTAATCATGAGAACCATCCTTTAAGGTTGCATTATCAAATCACTTTATAGATGAAAAGTTCAGATTGGTTCGCTTGCCTGGCATGTTCATCACACCACAGCTAAACCCCGTTGCCGGGATTTATGTCAGACGGTTTTGTTCAAATTCAATGATTTTCCTACTCATATTTATGTGAGGTTATTATAACTTCACATAAAACATATGGCATGCAAGTTTGGACAGAGTATTTTTTTTTAAGTTGTTTTTTTTCTGACCCAGAAAATTTTCTCTTTCTTACCTAACAGCACTGCTGCCCACATCGAGGTCTTGCGCAGTGACGGCCCCGATGATGGTCCCAACCGGAGTGTCTTCATACACCTCCATGGTGTACACGGGCTTGCTGAACACCGGCGGCTCTTCCACGTCCAGCACGCTGATCTTCACCGTGGCCGTGTCCTTGAAAGGGCCCACGGAGTGAAACCGGTGGTCAAGGTGAAGGTTGGAGGCTTCTACTTTAAAAGTATATGCCTTCTTTGTTTCAAAATCTAACGGCTGTAGCGAGGACAACCCAAAAGTTAGCAGATACATTCATAAAAAGTCTGCAAAGACAGTGAACATAGCTTCAGATCATTTGCAAGTGAATACAAATTGTATTGGTTTTAACATTTTATTAACCTTGGTAATTAATGGGTAAGGGAATGTTTTAAGAAAAGAATCACTCATGCGTGGAAGATTGTGGGTAACTTGTAAAGATAATCGGTTGCATGCATTAAAATGACGTATACGTGCAAATACATACTAGGTAGGGTTTATTCATTTTACATAGGCAGTTATAACAGCAAAAGGACTTTTTACGGGAAACATTTCCTGTTCTTATACAATACTGACATCTAGTGGGACGTAGTAGTAATTAAAACATAACAATTGAAACGATAATTAAGGATACTCTATATTCCACTTAAATTTTTGGTATAACAAAATAGTTTTTTCTTGGACCACTTTTTTTTTATTTTGACAATAACATAATTTTATATTAAACACTTTTAAACGTCCAGATCTTTTTGCTAGAAAAGGACAGTATCAAGATTTTAAAAATATGCACGGTTTTCATTATGAAGAGTTTTATTCTTTTGTTTTCTCAGCATTGGATATATAATTATTTGTCAGAGTAATTATTAGGCATTGTTAGGATATCTTACCAAGAATTAAGCACATATATGATCAAATTAAAAAAAACTGTGATATATAATATTTGGAAGTCATTTGTCCATAAAGTCACTGATTTCCTATTTTAACTTTACAACTGCTTATATTGACTGTTATTCTAAATATTAATTTTATGTTCCTAATAACTAGATATATTATATTCTAGAAATATGATGTTGCTGTGGTGTTTTGTATGAATGAAAACTTTAAGGTCATTGGCTCTGACTTCTAACCCTTATGAAAAATTAAGACAACATGAAATTAACATCGAGATTTACTGAGGCCTTTAAAGCTTTCTATTTTCTAAATTAATTCCCTCTAGTCTGACCCCTACAACTGGCTAGACTTGCTCATTGCTGTGTTGGCACATTTTTTTCTTACCCTCAGGATGCCTGGGGGAAATAAAAGATGTATATTTCTCTTTCAAGGACTAGATTGTTGTTTTATGTGTTTTCTCTGAAAATGGAAAAAGAAAATCTAAATATTACTGTAAAATCTTCAAGAACTATCATAATTCCATGATGTTTATTACAGAAAATAGTAATATCTTTTGGACCTGACATTAAGTCTTTTTCACAATGATTTTAATTCAGAGGGATCTGTTTATTTTCCCTGTAATTATTCTTTCATTTTATTTCATTCACCTAGTTTTTATTCATGTTTTTATCTGCTTTGTATTTAATGCTTTCTTTTACTTTTTATATTTTTTAGTGGCTGGACTCGCAGTTTTTTACATATAATACTGATTTTCTTCCATTTCTACCTCTTGCCTGTTACCGGATTTTGATTTATTTTTAAGCCAAAATAAAAAACAGCATGTTAATGGCTGTGGTTGATATTATAGCTATTGGTTATGTGAATGCAAATATAATATCTTGAACAAGAGAGGTGATCATACTATGATGCTTTTAATTTGATTAACCCACACCTTGTTTTTTTAAAGATGTTAAACTCATGAAAAGACAACTGATTTGCAAAATAGAATAACAAAACATTATTCAAGAGAAAAGCATGAAACTGACTCAAATATATTATACAACTGGAAATGTCTAGCCCAGAATGAAGATCAAAGCAAGGGAGGGCACACATTTTCACATGTTGAAGGACTGTCATAAATATTGGTTGGGCTTACTCCTTTAGTCTCCTATAATAATTTAAATTATTAAACTCCAGATTTAAAAAGTAAGTAATCTTTTAACAATTAAATCATTCAGAATTTAATTAATTAAAAAAATTTGATGGTCTACATGGTGGTAATGCCTGGATACATCCTGAGGACAGAAAGATTCAATGACAATTAAAGTTAGCTCTTTTTCTAGTCAACAAACTCAGAGTAGTGAGAAACATGCCATCTTGTTTAAGGAATGAGTGGTTTGAAGAAGTAGTAAGTTCCCTATCATTTGAAGTGTTCAAGAGAAATCTGATGCCTTAAGAGTAAGACGAATGTATACAATAGAGGGCTGCACCAGCTAATCCAATTTAAAGAACATAGAAAATATGCTTTCTGTTTTTGCAAACTCTATATGCACTGTGAATGTTGAACAACATAATTTTTCTACCACAGTGTTCCCTAACTTCTAGTGTCTGAGACTATTTTGACTCTAACATCTTAAATTCTCTTAACCGGAAAGCTTTTTGAGCTACTGTAGCTCAAACTCCCTTTTCTGGCCCAGAATAAACTTTGATCCTAGAATGTAGGAGTCAATACCAATTATTCCTCATTTCCCCTTATACTTTCTCCTAGAGATTAAATGCCTCCTATTTGATTAAAATTCCACAGCTATGTGATGGACTTGATTCTCTACTTTAAAGTCCATTTCAAGGCTAGAAATGCAGGCATAATTCTAAAACCTTTTGTACATTTTTAAAGGAAATCAGACATAGCCTATACCTTTTAAGAACTCCTAACCTATCACAGCAGACAAACATTTGGTGGTCAGGGCGATGTAGAGTGAGATGAAAGAAACTTTCTGTACATACAGATTTTTTTTGTTTTTTATAACTGAAAACTGATAGCCAGCAGTGATCAAAGAACTGGAGAAAATTACAGGAGAAATGTCACAATAATATCCAAATGGCCTTACATCTTCATGGCTTTGACCCATAGGAAATGCCACTTTTAAAAATATCTAGTTCAAAAAGAACAAAGATAAATAATACTGATCTCTGTGTAGTTGACTGTATCCAACCCACAAGACTGACAACCCTCCACTTGAATGAAATCCATCTACTTTACAATCAACAAAAATTCTAAAATTTGAAATACATATAGAACAAACAGGATATAAAAAAATATTCTGTGAAAGAAATCTATTATTATAAAGGGGAGCAAATTTAGCTCTTGCACAAGAAAAGAAACCTTTGTAACATTGCTTGAGATCCATTCAATTTTAAGAACTTTTCTAGAAAAAATAAGAACATGATCAAGTAAAAGAAATTTAATTGAGTAGCTCCTTGCTCTGAAGGGCGTTTTAATAAAAATTGGTAAGAACAGAATTTTCAGAAAACTTTTGCTATTGTACAATGTTGCATGGTAAGAAACCAGAACATGGAGAAATAAAATTCAATATGTTTGTTTATAACAGTATAAAAGGAGGAGGGGTTGAGCAAAAATTGCTTTTTAGAATCTTTGTTTTTAGCCACTTTCTTTGCTCTTTACTGAGGTCCAGGTCATGAAGAAACTACATGAAATAGTAAGTGCCAAACGATTTTGTCATGCCAGAGAAGGATAAGTGATTTATGACATATGAAAAACAGTACCAACTGAGCTATTCTAAATAGAATCAGAGCTGTCATTCCAGAGGAACTGCATTGTTTGTCTTACTCCTCAAACTTGTGGAACGTAAAACGGGTAAAATAACTTTTGGACTGGGCCTCAACCAGCATTGTATTCTAACCAAATGTATACTCAGCTAACAGAAAAGCCGACATTTTGACCAGCAGACCAAAAATACGTCTTTTGAATTAGCATTACTACGGTAGCTTATCCACACCTATAGAGATTGCTTCTTTAGTTTTTTTAACATCCACAGAAATTCCTACAATTTAAGTAAGTATTCCCCTTCCCTTTATATAAATAGTCCTTGCCTTCAACTCCTAATTGGAACACAATTTGGGTTTCTGCCTAAACCAGTGTTGCTGGATAGCTATTTTAAAAAATGTTATTTTTTTACTTTTAGGGAGTGGTGAAGGGAGGGATAAAGAGAGGGAGGGAAACATCTGTGCGCAAGAGAAACATCAATTGGTTGCCTCTGGCACAACCCCAACAGGGGGCCTAGCCTGCTACCCAGGCATGTGTCCTGATGGGGAATTGAACAAATGACCTTTCAGTTTGCAGCCTGGGGCTCAATCCACTGAGCCACACCAGGCAGGGTGTGGGAAGCTATTATTGTGGACCTCAGATAAATGCTTTCTGTCTCTCGCTTTGGCCATTTATTGGTAGATTAACATATCAAATACAAGAAAACATCTTTCTGAGCTCTTCCAGGACTCGTCATGCTTGTAGATACACAATGTTGAGTAAAATGCATAGCAAGAGTTATATTTTAAGAATTTTTAAAAACAGCAGCTTTGGTAGACAGAATTCCACGATGTCTCCAAGATTCCTGCCCCTAAATAGTTATCATTAGTATTTAGCTGGAAAAGGGGGTTAAAAGGAACTAGACATTGAAATTAATAAACTGGGGAACATAAGCCTGTTTGCTCCAGCTTTTCAAAGTCCAGGGGGCCACACCAAGGAGATGCGCACTTTTTTCCCCCAAGGGGGTTCACACTTTTCCCTTCATCCTTCAGCACCAGGCTGCTGGGGGTTACAAAGGGAGGTGCTGGGCCGGTGGAGTCCCGTCAGTCTAATGAGGAATTAACCCATCCAAAGCCCTTGAAAACCTGGGAAACTGATTGATTATTTTGAAAAAGGACCTGGTTTGCCACAAAACCAATCTAATATAATCCCAGGAGAACAAAAAAGCTTGCCTGCGTGCGCTCGCGCGCTCTCTCTCTCTCTCTCTCTCTTTCCCCTCACCTTGCGATGCAACCAGGAGCATGCAATCACATGGCAGACTGTGTGGGCTCTAAAAGAACTAAGTGTGTTCTCTCTCTCTCTCTCTCTCTCTCTCTCTCCGCCTCTTTCTCATGACCTGCACTCACACCATGAACTTGAACATCTCTCTCCATGGCCATGGGGCCTCCACACACAGACTCCAGATGCGAGCCTAAATACTGCAGCACCGAAACAGACTGCAGCTAGAAACACACGCTAAGCCAGCTGGATGCTGGACTGGACTGGACTTTAATATGGAGCAGGTACTCTGGACACTGGCTTTTGCCTGGCCTTGCTGAGAGCTCGG